CCCTCGGTGCTCGAGTCCGACTCGCACTTGGCCGGTTTTTTATTTATTTTGTCGAACTACCTTAGAAAGACTTTTATTGAGCATTCGGTTATTTCATTGGAAGATTTAAATACCTATTTCTCAAAAGTCTCTCAGCTCGCGTCAGCTCTTCAGTTACTGTGGCCCCTTTGGCGTTGAGCAGACGACGGGGCGGGGCGGGCATTTTGTCCGCGAAGCAATAAAGACTGCGTCAGCCCGTCGATGTCTGCGGCTGCCCGCGCCGCGTACACAAAGCACACGACGGGCAGAGGCGGTCAGTTTAGGACGTTCGTTCTAGTGAATAGTCCATCACTAATAAGCGCGAGGCGCGGACTGAGCTGACCGCCCCGCGCCGCCCGTCTGCGTTACTTCATATAAACTGGTTTGTATGATCCACGGCGGGCAGCCGCGGACATGCGGCGCGGTCTTTTTGCCCTCTGTGTGCGTTTGTAGTATAGGATTCACTATGTGCTATCGTTCGCGGCGAAATTGACCGGCCCGGCGGAGTTCCTCCGTGCTAAGGAAGGCATGTTAAACCGTTGGCCCCGGCTGCATCTGCACCCGCCAATCCATAATGGGCCCGCGTGGTAGGTCACAGCCCAATCTCCCTATTCCATCCATAGGGAAGGCCTGTGCCCCAGCAGTGGGGGCATTAATAGGCTGATGATGTTCCACGGCAGTCACGACGCAATTTTTTAACGTAGTACGTGTTGTTACTATATCTTATCTTATTATTGACGACCTCCGTGGCAGAGTGGTTTGTACGCCAGGTTTCATGGTGTCGCCGACTCGAGAGGTCCCGGGATCGAATCCCGGTGGGGTCAGATGTTTGTGTGATGAATACGAGCATTTGTACTCCAGTCATGGATGTTTAATATGTATTTCTATATAAATATACTTATATAATATGTACTGTATATGTATTGTATCCGTTACCCTAGTATCCCATAACACAAGCCTTACAGTGCTTACTTTGGGGCTAGTCTAATTGGTGTGTGTGTTGAAAATATTTATTTATTTATTTATCTTTAAGTATCAAATGCATGTATGACATAAAAGCAACAAATGAGTAAGCAATTAGGAACATAAATGCATGGTAATATTGAGTTTCGGTTTTTAAAAGTATGTCGAATTTTTTTAAGCACATAAACACCATTAATACTAGTTGCAATGGTAGTTCAATAGTTATGTTACTTTGGCTTACAAGTATCGACACCTGGTTAGGACGTCACTGCTAAATGAAGACACAGTAACCTTTGAGCTATGGCATCCAATAAAACAGGGCCGGATTTAGGATTGTGGAGGCCCCGGGCCACTTAGGATTTGTATGCTTATTGACCCATCGAAATGTTGTTAATTCTTAAGCTGTTGTGGAGGCCCCTGGGCCACAGCCCCACCTGCCCTGCCTTAAATTCGGCCCTGGGTAAAGGTAAAAGAGCAAAAAAAATATCAAAGGAAAAGATGTTTACTAGTGTTTACTAGTTGGAATTTGAAAGGTTTTTTTTCCCCAAGTCTCTATTATGGGGGCCCCCCGTTTGTGGAGGCCCGGGGCTTTCGCCACGGTTGCCCTCCCCTAAATCCGGCAGTGCAATAAAATACCGGTACACATTAAAGGAGGTCATTGTAGAAACACAAAAGTGATACGAACGAACACGTTAGCAAAGTTTTCCTCCCAAATGCTTAGCCGCTAAGTCCTACGTTTAATTATGAAAATACGCTCAATAACATTACATCAACGGGGCGGCGCGTCGTTACGGCGGCATTACGGTCATCAGCGGAGCCCTAAACATAATAAAATATGCGCCCTCAACCGATAATATATCAGGCCGACGTTAACGCGCTGCCGTAATCAACTTCACCAATAAACCATTACCGAAACGTAAATAAACCCTAAACTCAGCCCGGCGCACGTAAATAACAACCGCCAGACGAGACAGCGAGACAAATAAAAGGAAAATAACAATATTATATCCTTGAAGGGAGAAAGTTGCACCGGATCCAATTAAAATCTACATTTTATACACTTTATTCATTAAGAAAATGTTATTTGTGGTAGTCTACGATCGTTTGTTTGGGAACGCGACAGTTTCACGCTGCCGATCGATAGCAAAAAAGCAATTTTAGAAAGAAACTTACCTCTGGCGTATGTAAACAAATGTAGGCAGGCCAGCAAGAAAATCCAGTTACCGAACCCAAAACGACATATCCCTGTCCGACACATGATTCAATACACTGTAACGACACCGCACCAGAGGTTTTAATTCATCGATATCACATTTTCACTTAACATTCACATATAATAAGCGTAATTATTTTACACGGCGTTGAGTCGGCACGACAACGAACAATCCGCCATTTTCACAAGAACCGCCTGCGTTCAGAAACACAACTCAATAATGAAAAGGGCAATGCCCGGGGATGTTGATGGAGCTCAGCTAACTTCATGTCTATTGTGATCATGCATGAAGTTAGCAAAAAGAGTAGTGCTTCCAAAAGAAATGTCATAGTCTAGAAACTAACCGTCGATCGATTGAGCATACATTATTGAGGAAATTAGTGATACAAGCATCTAATTGCTATGTTATCAATAAAGGTCTGATGTAAATATTAACTTTGGTATAAATAAATCTATAAAAGTGAATTTACGCTTAACAAATTACAACCAGAATTGCATAACAAAACGCAACTTCAAAACGTTTAATTGTCAAGTCAAGCAGTATGACCAAATTCAGTATTTTAATACTTTTTCGGTATATTTTATTGACTTTTTGGAACGTTAGTATTTTTGAAGGTATATTGGTGGAGGTCCGTATTTTTGAGTATATTTTGGATAAAAAGTTATGGCAGCACCGATCGTCCCGTGTTCTGGTGAAATGAAATGTCTTTAATAACTTGTTAAAATAATAGTTTTTATTTCGATTCAGGATATTTTTCTTGATATAATTATGACATTAATGTGTATTGTCTTTTTAACATAACTTTGCTGATTTTCCGGATTAAGTCTTTAACTAATTTAGGATCAGTGGTCAGCCAGTTACAGATAGGACATGATAAGCAAATCATCTAAGAGCTAAGACTGTCTGCTGTAATTTTCTGTTCTGCAATTCTGTTAGCTTAATCTTTTAAGGAATTCAGGAGTTTCTCCAAATTAGTATGGTTTTTTAGTTGTCGTATAAACAGAGTGAGTGTTTTTCTTTTTCATAAATTAAAAAATATTATAGTTAATTAGCAGCCTTTCGCTACTTAGTCCTCGTTAACTTTATTTTTTTTTTTGAAAATCCCACTGGAACTTAACATTTTTCACGGGATAAAAGGTATCCTATGTCTCAATCCAGGTAAAAATTCTATATGTGTACCAAAGTTCATCCTAACCCGTTCAGTAGATTTTGCGTGATTAACACCCGGTTTCTGAAACGCATGTCATCGAAAAAATTACGTAACAAGTTGTTAATCTCTATTTAAATGCACTTTGGGTTTCTCAATGAGCCAAGTGACAGTTTGTCAATGATTTGTTGTTGCAAATGTCAAATCTCGAATTAATGGCCGATTGCGGTAGTTTTCGGTTTCCGGAAAGCTTTTTTGTATGTTAACTGCATGTTAACGTTTTGTTGTGTTTTAATAAGTAATTGGTGAAAATTGATCAATTAACAGATTGTCAAAAGAAATTTTACTGATATTTTGGTCAGAGGATTGTTGTAGTGGTAGTAAAAACGTTGTCAGATTTATCTGTTGACGATATATCCCTATCTAGTGACGAGGAAGATCTGGCACCAACTCGCCAGTTCCGGAAACGAATAAATCCTGTAATTCATTACAATGATGAAGAATTTAAGGATCGCTACAGGATTTCAAAATCTGTTTTCCATCAACTAATGGGAAAACTGACACACCTGGAACTTAAAACGAACAATTATGTACACTAAAGCCTTCCTAGAATTATGGCTAACCCAACATAAAAAGAATATTTCAATTCAGTTCAGCAGTTCCTGATGTTAACGCGTTCAAACAAACATCTTTATATTGTAGTTTATATCAGATTTACACTATAATTATTTTACTTTTTATTTGCTTTAGAAGTAAATTCCAATTCTTTAATTTTTATTTTTAAATTCTTCAATTTTTTTCCAAGTCACGTTTTTTTCCACCGTCACTGCATTGGTAGACTTATTTTCTATTATTGCTTTGTGCCTACATTGAAATATATATTATCAATATATTTACAAATTTTAAATGCCAAAAGCAGATCGGTTAATTTGTATAGATTAGAAAGCTTGATTTGAACAACTGATTTGTACCTATTAGGTACTTACTTATCCACTATTGTTAAAAGCTCCCTCTTTTCTCGCTCCGTATAGCTTTTTCGTGACATATTATGTAAAAACTTGAAATGAAAATAAATTTCAATGTTTTCGGTACACACAATCGCTTCTATTTTTCTGACTTCTAAATAAAAGTCACTTATAAGTTGTCAAAAGATAGAGACAAAGCTATGCGTTAGACAGAAACAAAACATGAATGATCGAATGAAAGTGACTGGTTTTAGCTAGGGTGGCCAGACTAATAAATAAATCCTGCCTTAACAGTAGATTCGTTAATTTTTCGGTAAATATCTTTTCAGAAACCCATAGTTGCTCAACAAATAGTTAATTATGACAGTCTGTCAACTAATTCAATATTTGACATGCGTTTCAGAAACCGGATATAAGTAACAAACATAAAAAACTTGCACATTTAGAATATTAAGTAGGATATATAGTTTATAATAAAGATAAATTGAAATATATGACTAGCTTCAGTAAATCTCTGTTCAAATGTATACCAGTATTGAATGTTGCACGCAAGGCTATATTTTCACAGATAAATTTAATTAAAAAAAATGTGTTGATGAATGAATAAAACCTGTTTTAGTCGGTATATTTCAGTATTTTTAGGGTGCTTCGGTATTTTCGTAAAATTGATTCTGGTCATACTGCGTCAAATTTTGATTATGACAGTATGTTGACTTTTGACTTGACAGATATTTGTGATAACGACGTAGCGACGCTAGAAGTGAATAGATAAATCTAGTGTTTTTATTTAATTGTTAGTGTGTTTTGAAATATATCTGTAATAAAAACAACTATTTTGTATGACACTTAATTTCACACCATGGAGTTACTTTATTCTATGAGGCGGAAGCCTTTAAAATGCGAACCACCTCATTTCGAAAAGTGAGTCTTTCCATCAAGATATTTTAAATAAAACTGGATGAATATAATGAATAACTAGGAACAGTTACTTGTGAATAACGTACATATTATACAGAAATAAATATATGATTATAATATTTCAGCGCGTTAGACACAGAAGTGGTACGTCCAATAGTGACCATTTCAGTGTGCAATATAATAGCGTTTTCATCACCCACTGAATTGTCTGACGCTGATGGAGACACATGGGGTGGTCACGTATACGTCTGCGACTTAGATACACCGTGGGACAGCCACAAAGTCACCAGTACAGTGCACCCTGTAAGTATTGAATTGATGGGTACCATAATTTTTCAATAATTTATAAAATCAATAAATAATATAGTGAAAGTACCAATGATACCCTGCCAATGCAACATAAGACATATATTTGAGGGATTTTTGTTGTATTTCTTATCAGCCCCTTAATTGTTTGACTTTATCTTGAAAGTAAACAACTAGGTCTTTAATTGTTATTGAAAGTCTGTTTTGAAGATTTTGACAGTTTAAAAAGTTAAAATATTATGTGTACATAAATTGAGACAGCTCTGTAATTGTGTCACTTCATAAATGTGTTTATGTGCAGGGTCCCTAACAGGCATAGGAATAAAAAGCTGTTGTTTATGTTAGTGGGATGATATGGCATCAATCAAACAAGCTGGTTGGCCAAAGACTGATGTATTCCTTTCACATGCTTGTTACTGATATATTATATTAATTATATTAATTATAAACATGATAGCTGTCACATTTTGTGCTTAGGCCTCTGGCAATCATCACCATCAGCCTATTAATGTCCCCACTGCTGGGGCACAGGCCTTCAGTATGGATGGAATAGGGAAATTGGGCCCATGACCCACCACTCGGGCTCAGTGTGGATTGGTGGATGCTAACAACTGCAGATGCAGCCAGAGCAACAGCTTAACTGGCCTTTCGAAGCACGAAGGAACTCGAGATGGAGATTTTTGGTTACCCATCCAATGACCGACCACTGCGAAAGTTCCTTAACTTCAACTATCGCAGCCGAACGCGCTAACAACCTGCGCCTTCAAGCTCCTCAATGGCCTCCTCCTCTGGCAATGCAAGGTGCATATAACTGTTAACATATTTTTTCAAAACATCAATTAGGCTAGCTCCAAAAAAGCATGGTAAGAGTAAATTATCAATAATTAAGCTGTGTGTCATGTGGTGTGTGAAGGTGTCAGCATTGGAATGGGACAACGAAGGCAAGCAGCTGCTGGTGGGGACTACAGCAGGCGACGTTTCCGTGTATGGCCAGAAGGAGTACTTGCTGAATGATTGGACGTGTCTGTATTCAGCTAGCTTTCCTGGTGAGAACTTAATTTCTTAACCTACTTACTTCTTTTGTTTGTCATTTTCAAGATTCATTTCCATATTTGTTACATTTCATGTATGTACTGAAAAAGCACTATTGCCTTTATAAGTTATTGGCACCAATTAATGACAAGAACCAATTGTAATGTAAAGGAAATAAATTAAAGAAGTACATAAAAATTAATAAATACATTAAAAAAACTCAAAAACTTGTAAAAAAACAAAAGTTCTTTATAAAAAATGTAAAATTAAACAAGGAAAGATTGCAATTAATTGATAAATTGGATATATATTCAATAAAATATGACAACATTAGCCTAAGATATAAAAAAGACACACAAACATTGCAAAGTAAAATTGAACAATTACAAGAGTGTCTTATAAATGTTACAAAAAAATATGAACTGTCACAAAAAGAAATAAAGGAACACATGAAGGCACTGAATGAGTTGGTTGAATTATGTAATTACAACAATGACAGATTTAATTCTTTAACTAACAATCACACATGTGATTGTAAACAGTTAACAGCTCAGTCACCTGTCAATTGTGATTCCTCCATATCACAACATGTAACTATTAGTTCCCCACAGCAGCCATCAAAGGAATGCTTGACTTCAGTGAAAACAATTCACTCGGACAACTTAGTTTTAGATAATAAATATGAAAAAATCATATTATTTAGTGATGAAATTGGCAAGGGCATGGGCCCTCTTTTATCTAAAATGGGAAATTCAATTATCAATCACTGTATGCCTAATGTTTCTTATAAGGATATCTTAGGAAATGCAATCAAACAGAATTATAGTAAATGCACTACTTTGTTATTTTTTGTGGGAAATAGAGGCAATTTGAACAAAAAATCATTGATTCAATATGTCAATGACCTGAGCTCATTAAATGTTGAAAAAATTATATTGTTTACATTGCCCTATTGTAGAAGTCTGCCAAAGGAGGAAAATATCTTAAGATATAAATTAAATATGCTTTTGTTCACAATGTGTAAAAGTGAAAAATTTCATATTATTGACACTAACAATTATGTTAGAAATTTATATTTGACCAAAGATAAATATTATCTTTCTAATTATTATAAAAGACAGATAGCTAAGTCGCTATCATATTATTTTTATATAACAGCCAAAAACTTGGCTAAACAAATTGCTTTTATTGAGCAATGTTCCATTGACTTGACAGTCAGTAATTCTTCTACTGACAAATTACAAAATAATAACTATTGTTTAAATTAAATAATGAGACAACAGACAACTCGTCTTGCTTAATAATAAATAATTATTGTAATAACTTGCATAAAAATATTAATTTAATTAAGAAAAATCCCAAACAATTAAAAGAAAATGTAAACTTGATCAACCTGATGCATATAAATATTCAAGGAATGATGGGTAAGGACTTAGAAATTGAATTATTTTTGAATTGTAACAATATAGATATATTTTGTATCACAGAGCATTGGCTTAAAAGTCATCAATTCATCTTTAATTTTAATAATCATCAGGTTGGTAGTTCGTTCAGTCGAGAAGATGCGATTCGCGGTGGCTCTTTAATTTTATTAAATAAGGCACTTAAATTTAAGGAACGTAAAGATATTGTGAGCCTCTCGGTTGAGCGAACAATAGAGATTGCCTGTGTGGAACTGGACCAGCTTGTTGTATTGAGTGTATACAGACCTCCTTCAGCATTGTATGATTGTTTTGCTACTATTATGGATGAAGCTTTAGAAAAAATTGTCAACACTGGTAAACGATTAATTGTTTGTGGTGACTTTAATATTAATCTATTAGAAACCTCTAATTTGAGTATTAATTTAAGAAATCTATTTCAATCATATAATCTTGAAAACTTGTTCATGGAGCCTACTAGAATAACTGCCACTTCGGCCACTTGTATTGACAATATTTATACGGATATAATACCACATTCAAAAGTAATTGTTAATCAACTGGATAGTGATCATTGTGGCCAGATGATTACTTTTCCTCATCCAAATAAAAATATCACCAAGAAATATATTACTATTGTGCCAAAATCTGTTAACCGTATAGAGCGTTTTAAAATTCAATTAGATAGGAGTTTGAGTTATTTAAAATATAAAAGTAGTCCAAATGATATGTATAATGATTTTTTTAATAATTTTTGTAAAGAATTTAATGATGTCTTTGTTCCCAAAACCATATGTGTTAGTGATGCAGTAACTTTCAGCGAGTGGGCCACCCCAGGCATACATAAAAGTAGAAGGAAACTTTATGAACTTTACAATGAACGCAGCATTAATGAAACTCAGTAAAATAACTCCATTACATAAATCGGGTAGCACATCTGACCCCACAAACTTTAGACCTATATCCGTGTTACCCACCTTTAGTAAGATTTTTGAAAAAATTATGCTAGATCAAATGCAATCATATTTTTATAGTAATAACATTCTTCATAGTAAACAATTTGGTTTCACAAGGGGTCGCTCAACAACCGATGCCGGTGTTGAGCTTGTACAGCAAATTTTTGATGCCTGGGAGAACTCGCAAGATGCATTAGGTGTATTTTGTGACTTATCAAAGGCTTTTGATTGCGTTTTTCATGAAACCTTGATCAGGAAACTTCACCACTATGGATTTAGAGATACCACTCTGGATCTTATTGTATCTTATTCGAGTGATAGGGTTCAGAGGGTTGACATCAATGGAGTAAAATCTCCTGGTTCGTCGGTTAAGATGGGAGTTCCGCAGGGCTCAATCCTTGGTCCTTTCTTATTTTTAATTTATATCAATGACTTGCCCTATTTTGTAAAGGATAACCACGAAATAGTATTGTTTGCGGATGACACTTCACTTTTGTTTAAAATTAAACGTAGGGAGTCACAAATTGATGACGTGAACAGGTCTATTTCGAAGGTAGTCCATTGGTTCAATGTTAATAATTTGATGCTAAATGAAGGGAAAACTAAGTGTTTGAAATTTGTATTACCTAATGTGAAACAGGTAAAAACTAATGTAAATATAAAGGATCGACATATGAGCTCTGTAGATACCACAGTGTTCTTAGGAATCACACTAGATTCTAAGCTGCAGTGGGGCCCACATATTGATGGATTGTCGAAGAGACTTAGTTCTGCAGCATATGCTGTAATGAAAATACGGCAGTTAACGGATATAGAAACTGCCAGATTAGTCTACTTTAGTTATTTTCATAGTGTAATGTCTTACGGTATTTTACTGTGGGGAAATGCCGCCGACATTCAAACTATATTTGTGCTGCAGAAGAGGGCTATTCGATCAATTTATAATCTTAAAGTTAAGGATTCATTAAGAGATAAGTTTAAAGAAATAGGTATATTGACAGTTGCATCACAATACATATATGACAACTTAGTATTTGTAAAAAAAAATATTAATTTGTTTACTAAAAATAGTGAAATACATACATATAATACTAGAAATAAAAATAACTTAACTTTACCTGCTACTAGGCTCCACAAAATCAATAATTCGTTTAGAGGTCTTAGTGTTCGCTTTTAGAATAAAGTTCCAAGCAATATTCAAGAGTTAAGCATGACTAAATTTAAATCGACCATTAAAAAATTACTAGTTAAGAAAGCATATTATAAAGTGTCTGATTATATTACAGACAAAAATGCTTGGGTATGAACTGTTCCAACCATTCCAACGGGTATTTCTATATGATTTAAATTATGAATTATGTGTTGACAATACTATAATTAAACTGAAAGCTGTATATAAAGTTAATAACTTAAGTAAGATTACCAGACTGTTTAAGAATATTTGATTGACAAAACGGCGTGGTCGTGATTTCTCCTTTGCTTTGTTTTGTAATTGTTTGTTGTGTCTTACTGGTAAATGACCTTAATTTAAGTAAATATGTTGTAGTTAGTATGGGTAGTTATGGGTAGTCATGCTCTCATAATAGTCTCTTCGGCGGTGTCGTGTGAGGCGGGTCGTTACGTTCCCTAAAATATGGTTGAGCGAAGCGATGGCTGGTTCATGCGTCATGCTCGTGAACGGGTGCTGCCAGCGGAGATGAGTCTGCCCTAACTTCCTTAATATTGAAGTTAATGTTTAGTCACACTGAATATAAATAACACTATTTGTATTTATACTGTATGACACAGCAATCAAAATGCAGGTAAACAATTAATGTATATTTAATAATTATGTAATGAAAAGTGACTTCATGAATCACCTCTGAAGTCATTTTTCAATTTGACGACTCTGTAAATAATAAAACAGGGAGAAAAAAACAGCCCTTGCTGAGTTTCTTGCCGGTTCTTCTCAGTACAAGGTCTCCCGCCGTAGATTTACGAACCGATGGCGTAGCTTCTAGACATTCATATGTGCTTGTAACAGCCTAAACTGAATAAATGATTTTGATTATGATTATGATTATGAATTTGATCAATGAAAATAAGAGTAGATAACAGATCACTCAATATTTAGCAAGCTATAGATGCTCTGTGTTACCATTTTTAGCAAGTCGCCATCCACTCATATTGTAGTGAATTTAGGCACTCTTGACTTGGGGGATAAACTGGCGAATTTGTTACAATTTTTGCGTTACGATTAGTGTTACCGTTGACTCATCGGTAAACAATGAACAATACCCATCACAAAATACATGCTTGGTGGGTAATAACGGACCCGGCGCAGATTGGTGTTTTTTTTCTATCAATAAATCTTCAGGTTAAGTTTATGATTTTCAGATCATTGGAGCTAAAGAAGTTTTACTGTAGTCGTGTGATCGTAAGCACACTCGCGTTTTTATTCATTGTTTACATAAAAAACTGAATGTGCTTATGAACATACGACTGAAGTGTAACTTCTTCAGCTCCATCTATATATTAATATATATATAATAATATATATTATGACGACCTCCGTGGCCGAGTGGTTTGTACGCCGGGTTTCATGGTGTCGCCGACTCGAGAGGTCCCGGGTTCGAATCCCGGTGGGGGCAGATGTTTGTGTGATGAACACGAGCATTTGTACTCCAGTCATGGATGTTTAATATGTATTTTATATAAATATACTTATATATGTACAATATATGTATTCTACCCGTTAACCTAGTATCTCGTAACACAAGCCTACAGTGCTTACTTTGGGGCTAGGCTAATTGATGTGAGTTTAAAAAAAAAATGTGTATGTACACTATATACATGTATGTACATATACATATTTCATTTACTAGCTATAAGAGAAAGAGAGAAAGAAAATGTGCGCGCGCACTGCTTTCTCTTGCTTATATCTCCTACTCAACTCTCGTTCGCCTCGCCCGAACACACTTTTCGTAACGCGTAACGCATTCGCCAGCTTACCCCCCAAGTCAAGCGTACACTAAAGAATTTACACTTATTACAATATTCCTTGCTCTGACGGATCACGATTTTTTTAACATGTTTCTACATTAAACAAAATTAGATCACATTGATGCATAACTTCACTTATAATTAATTGGAATTTATATATGCATCATTGCAGGAGAACACATAATACGTGCAATATTCTTCCACAACGGCAGAAGAGTTGTTGCTGTTGACAAGAAACCTGACGCTCTGATCACTGAGAAGTTTCAACTCCTGCGGTCTGCACCCACACTGAAAGGATTCGGGTATGTCATTATGATTTCTTCCGATATTTTATTATAATTAAAAAAAAAAAATGGTTGCCTGTAAAGTCGGTTTTACGGGCGAAGATTTTACGTGACAACGTCTTTTTCTCGGTAGAATATTTATTGATATGAATATAATTAAATTGCACAATAGGAACAAGGAATTGAATGAAAATAAGAATTGCACAAATTTTAACTATAGAAATATATTTTGTTTACTAAAACATTGTACATGTAAACTTAAACTTAACACGAGAGACTCATCGTAACGTTACCGAGCGTTACACTTTTTCATAAGTGACTCCCAGCCGCAACCTAATTTAAGACGTTGTCACGTCAAAAAGTATTTTACATTAATTGATTTTTTTTATTCATACCAAAAAGTGGCATTTGTTAGTAGATCACAATAAAAAAGTAAAAATTTATAAATTAGTTACACCAAAACGTAATATATTTTGTTTTATAAATAATTCTCATGAGTCTGAAAGTATAAATATTCACATGATGACTGACACAAATTAATCTATGCATTAATTTTTTTTCCCCGTGGTGAGTATAGAGAATGCTTTAAGTATTGATGACTTATTAGTTTTTTTCAAATTGTGTAAAATCATTTAAGATGTAAATGTAACGTTTTGATGTGGACCTCCACAATAGGGTATTTGACATGTTTCAGAAAACGATCTCACGTTATTGACTAGTGTTTGTATTTCGGTAAAAAAACTAAATCAAAAACTCTATTTTAAGTTGCCGCGAAAAACATATCTCTGGTCAATATGGCGTCTCACTGGTGTGTGACGTCACACGATTGACATTAAAACGTCAAACCATACAATCTAATGTCACTTTAACCGGAAGTTTACTTGCGTGTGACGTCATTTTAGGCTCCGCCAATCCCTAGCGTTTTGGGTCACGTGACAAAAGAAGAAAACTATTATCTTTTTCGTGGGTTTTTAGTAAAATTATGAATATTTTTTTTATGTAAAAATAGTAAAAACTCCTGCCAATATGCATTCTGAATACAGATGCTAACAATTGGCACTTTATTTTTAATACTGTCAAATACCCTATTATAAGTTTTTTCTTTACAACTTTCTCAATATGGGTATGAAAGGGGGCGTCCATAAATTTCGTGAGGTGTTTTTTTGTATTTTCTGTCTCTGTTCTCCCTCCCCCCCTGGTGAGATGTCGTGAGATTATATTCAACCCCCTCCCCCATTCCCCCAATCTCACGTGAGATTTTTCAAAATGTGGGTTTCTTTCGTAAACGCGTTGGATTGTTGTGGTGGACTGTTATGAATGATACTCTTCGACGTTTCAATTATTTATTTCTTTCTTCCTTTTCCTTTTATTGCTGGGTACATCCGTCGATGGTAGACTGACCCTGACCATGAAAAACTGACGCCTTATATAGTTATAAAAAAAATGGGTGCGTGTACTTATGTAGGCGCGTGAGAAGTTATCCTTCTTTGGCATCGTTTAAAATTAGTTTTTAATTGCATGCAAATAATTAATTACAATAAATTAATAAAAAGTCTGGAAAAGGACACAGTCAATAAAGTTCAGTTTTAATTTGAAAAAATAAATAAATAATCAAAATATTCAATTAAAATCGCTACTGAATATAATTTATTAGAACATAATATGTGATTTGCACTTGTATGAAACTCAAACACGTATTCCGAATATACAAACTAGAAACATGTGGATAAATACTATAAATATGAATACCTATAACTGTTACTTTATTATAAAGATGTGGTTTTTGGTTCTACTACACCAATGGTCAAGAGATGGCGCTGTAGTCTCCTGAATCGCGCTTTGGTTCCGTTGTTCCAGATTAATAAATACTTTTGATAAGCCTTCACAATGCAGTCGTTAGCACCCACTAAATAGAGATTCTATTTCTATTTTGTTGGTAGATTTTCATAATGTGCGGTAAACACAAAAGTAACAGCATGAAGTTGGTCGCTAAAGCGACCAACTTCATGCTGTTAATTTTTTGTGTTACAGTGATGCGCGCGCATCTTAAAATTTCACTCTCATCATTTTTTCATAACGCGCCTAAAGAAGTATAACTTCAAAAAATATCGATTATCCAATTAGACTTTCTATTTTGATTGATTTTCCAATAAGACAATCGACTTTTTTCTTCCTTGTCTAATTTATGCAAATGGCCTATTTTTTGTCTCAAGACTATTGCCCTCTCTTTCCTATTCTATGCTGTCCCTTACTGTCTCTCAGGGGACTACTTACGAACTATATAAGGTTTTTGTTTTTTGCCTGTTTCTCTTTCAGTTTTCGATGCTCGGTCTTACAAAAATGATTTTATCATATCTTATGCCTAAATATACATTATTTCAATATAAAATTAACAATTATCTTAATTTTTACATATGCGGCTTTCTTTACGGTATAGCCCGAGTATTCTCCGGTAGTACCTAACATTCTTGTTTTTTGGGAAAAGAATGTTTTACCTTTTTTATAAATCATTTAATCTTTGGCTTACTTTTACCTATCTTTATTATAATTTCTACTCTTAATCTATGGGGAATGAAAAGACTTCGTTATAATTCTTTTCATTTACATATTTTATTTAAACTATATAGTACATTATAAATCAACGTGCTGTCCTCAACAATTGTTATTGTAAAAAGAAAAGAAAAATGCTTCGTGCTTTTATTTACGACTAGTTAAGACTAGTAATCAATATTACTGAGAGTTATAAGTGTAATAAAAATTTGACAATAGAATTCTTAATTGATACTACTGTAACTTATGTACGCGCGTGAGAAGTTACTTCTTTAGCATCATTAAAAATATTTTTAATAATTACAATAAAATAATAAAAGGACTGGAAAAGGATAGTTAACACAGTCAATTTGAAAAATTAAATAATTATTCAAAATATTCAATTAAAATCACTACTGAATTTAAGTTATTAGTCCATATGTAATTAGCACTTGTAAGTAACTAAAACACGTTGTGTCTATATAGAAACTAGAAACATGTGGATAAATATTATAAATATGAAAACAGTGATCAGAGGCGACGAGCGTGCCAACATTGTTTTTGACAACGCGATCATCTTATGGAGCTCCGTGGATCGTTCAAAGTACCTTTCGAACAGATGGATTAGACACTAACATTCATAACGCGCCCGCGGCCAACTTCATGATGTCACTATTGTGTTACAGTGATGCGCGCGCATCTCGAAATTTCACTCACATGATTTTTTCATAACGCGCCCGCGGCCAACTTCATGCTGTTACTTTTGGGTCACAGTGATGCGCGCGCATCTAAAAATTTCACTGTCATCATTTTTTCATAACGCGCCAAAGAAGTATAACTTCAAAAATTGCGTGATATTTGCCGAGACCCCCCTCTCTCCAACGTAAGATTAGATGAGATTTGACTCGACCCCCTCCTCCCCTTAAACATCTCACGTAATTTATGGACGTCCCCAAATGAAAGGCCTTGTTGACTCAGGGGTAGTCGTTCCGGGGGTGCGTTAGTAGTGTCGTCGAGCGGCCTTGTCGGGGCGATATGGGGCGGGGACTCCTCTCGGGCGCTCCACGCGGCGGAGCCCCTCCCACCGGCGAGATTGAGAGTCACTACAGCTGCGTTGGCGCATAAGAGTGAGTATTGGTAATTTTTTTTAAACATGTCGATCTGCTCGATGTTTTAAATCTAAAGAAAATATTAGCGGATAGCGAAGGGTCCGCGTGGAATTTTTTCTAGTAATATCTTATTGAGTATTGGTAGTTAATATGGCATTGTACAGGCTATACAGTCTTTTGAACCGCTTAAGGTAAGTTTTTTTTATATAATATTTTTGAGTAGCTTTATGGCGCAAGTGGTTAGGGCTGCGATCGTTGAAGTTAAGCAACTTTCGCAGTGGTCGGTCATTGGATGGGTGACCAAAAAATTACTATCTCGAGCTCCTCCGTGCTTCGGAAGGCACGTTAAGCCGTTGGTCCCGGCTGCATCTGCAGTCGTTAGCACCCGCCAATCCACACTGGGCCCGCGTGGTGTTCATGGGAAAGGCCTGTGCCCCAGCAATGGGGTCATTAATAGGCTGATGATAATGATGATGTATAATTCTTTACTCCACCATAACTTCTAAACGCCTGAACCGATTTAGATGTGTGTGGTATCGTTAGAATCCTTTCACCATCCCGGGTAACAGGATACCTAAACTGTTAAAATTTTAATGACAGCAATGTCAAAACGTCAATTATTAATGTCTATTAAAAATATCTAACTATTTCAATAAAGTATCATTTGAAATGTCTTAATGACACCATATTATATGTATACAAATATAGTAGCATTCTTTTAACGGCAGTTGTGCTTTTCAAATGTTGAATTGATAACTTGTTATGCGAGGGCTTGAGAGAAATGCCGTATGCGTCAGAGGAAGGGAAGCCAGACATTGACGCGTTATGCTTCGTTACGTAACGCGTTACGGCGTCAGTCTGTCTGGTTACCCTTTCTCACGCATACGGCATTAACCCGCAGCGCAGCTTAGATAAGTTCTAAGTTACACGTAATTTTTTTAACTATAATTTTTGAAGTGAAAACTTCTTTAGAGGCGCTGTACACTTTTTTTGTATTGGGTAGAAAATGTTAAGCGCTCGTCATGACACGTGGCCTGACCGAAAATTCGTAAGACGAAAACAATAAAATTGGAAAGGTTGTTGACTTTCAATATATTGGTCGAAACATAGTAATATTTTATTTTATCGTATTATAATAATAAGCCTGTAACTAGGACGTCCAGGTGGTAGCTTTATTGCGAAGAAAATGCATTTTTTTACAATAGATGTCGCTAGGTGCGCTTAAATGTGATTCATGTAACTTGATTTTTCTGAGAGATAAACTTTTTAATGTAATATAAATTGTCATGTTTGTGTACGATAGCGCAATAAATAAATATTGTATTCTACCACATAAATGATAGTATTTTTACTGATAATTAAAGCAATTCGTGCAAAATTATTCCCTAACCATGCCAAAATATCAAAAATGCACAACGTTAATATTCAAGTGTCCACTTCTGCCGGCACTCCCGGAGTGAAACCCGTCGTTTTTTTTAAGTATGTAACTTCTTGATGTTTAAATCTAACAAAAATATTACTAGAAAAAATCCACGCGGACCAGGCAGCAGACGGGACTCGAACCCGCACCCTTCGCTATCCGGGCGGATGCACTGACCATTACGCTATCGCTTGCCTTATGGCCGCTTCTAATTCTTTCTAGCCTTACGTAAGCTGCAAAGCAGCGCCATCTCTTCGCATTGTATTAAAACTTTGCTAATACGGCTGTTTAATACCCAGGCGGCGGTATAGTAGTGGCGGCAGGCTGCGGCGGCAGTATTAACGGCAGTAACGGCGGCAGATGGTGCGTCAGATGCGCTGTTGCCAAACCGCGCGCCCCGCCACATCTAGCGCTGCAGCCGTTGCCAGCTCTATATCTGCCAACTGCCGGAGATCATCCGGGTGAGTGGATATTGATATCCTCCTTTGCCAGCTCTATACCTGCCCACTGACGGAGATTATCCGGGTGAGTGGATATTGATATCCCCTTTGCCAGCTCTATACCTGTTCACTGCCGGAGATTATCCGGGTGAGTGGATATTGATATCCTCCTTTGCCAGCTCTATACCTGCCCACTGCCGGAGATTATCCGGGTGAGTGGATATTGATATCCCCCTTGCCAGCTCTATACCTGCCCACTGCCGGAGATTATCCGGGTGAGTGGATATTGATATCCCCTTTGCCAGCTCTATACCTGTTCACTGCCGGAGATTATCCGGGTGAGTGGATATTGATATCCTCCTTTGCCAGCTCTATACCTGCCCACTGCCGGAGATTATCCGGGTGAGTGGATATTGATATCCTCCTTTGCCAGCTCTATACCTGCCCACTGCCGGAGATTATCCGGGTGAGTGGATATTGATATCCCCTTTGCCAGCTCTATACCTGCCCACTGCCGGAGATTATCCGGGTGAGTGGATATTGATATCCCCTTTGCCAGCTCTATACCTGTTCACTGCCGGAGATTATCCGGGTGAGTGGATATTGATATCCTCCTTTGCCAGCTCTATACCTGCCCACTGCCGGAGATTATCCGGGTGAGTGGATATTGATATCCCCCTTGCCAGCTCTATACCTGTTCACTGCCGGAGATCATCCGGGTGAGTGGATATTGATATCCTCCCACGACGGCTAACTAGAGCCGATGTCCGAGGCTCAGAGACGCCCTCTAGTTGAGCCGACCCCCTCAGGTTCATATTCATAATAAAAATCAATTATTCAGTTTAGGCTGTCACAAGCACTCATGAATGTCTAGAAGCTACGCCATCGGTTCGTAAATCTACGGCGGGAGACCTTGTACTGAGAAGAACCGGCAACAAACTCAGCAAGGGCTGCTTTTTTCTCCCTGTTTTATTATTTACAGAGTCGTCAAGTAGAAAAATGACTTCAGAGATGGTTCATGAGTAACCTTTCATTGCATTATATCATTTACAGAGTCGTCAAGTTGCAAAATGACTTCAGAGATGATTAATGAAGTCACCTTTCATTGCATTATATCATTTACAGAGTCGTCAAGTTGAAAAATGACTTCAGAGATGATTCATGAGTCACCTTTCATTGCATTATATCATTTACAGAGTCGTCAAGTTGCAAAATGACTTCAGAGATGATTCATGAAGTCACCTTTCATTTTTGATTGAACCCTTTTGGAGTCAAAAAGTATTTGCGAATAACTAACTCCACGCGTACGAAGTCGCGGGCGGCCGCTAGTTAATAATACAGAGACCCTCGAATTATTTACTATCTCTTATCTATTAGACAAGTCTGTCCGTCCGTCTGTCTGTGGTGCTGTTTCAGCGGCCAAACCGTAAGAGATAGATAAAGAGAATATTTAAGTTATATGTTAAGAATAGTCTGATAAGACTACAAACCGGATTTGAGTAACGTAGCACTTCCGGTTTTCGAGAAATCACGAATTTCAAACGAAACCACACAAAATCTCCGAAGTTTTCAATTAATTAAATATATATTTTTTTTGTTTTGGTGAACATTTGGTTCACTGGTTTGCTAGTTTGGTTATAATTAATGTTGGAACATATTTCGTGCATCTTTTGTCCTTTTCTTGTTGCAGTTCTATGTATTTTTTTCTTTAATTATTTTCTTTATCTACCAGTGACAATCAGCTGGTGTCTCCGCGAAGACATTGACTGCTTGCTGGTGGCGGGGACTACTCTAACTCTGTGGAAGCTGACCGAAGGGGCGCATCCTGTACACAAGCTACTGTCTAAAGGTAAACTAATATACAGGGTGTGACAAAACTCCGAAATAAAATTTTAGGTTTTGGTTGTGTTCCTTGTATAGAATTACATACGAAAGTTTGACGCCTTTCAGACCACTTTTATTTTCTAATTAAATTAATAAAAATATCGTTTTACACCTGCCTATGACAACCCTATAAATGCGTACGATTACTACTACCTAAACAGAACCCCCTCTCTCCCCCAGGCGCCCCTGCGTCCCGCTTAGATACCTACAAATTTTAATTTCGGAATACATACCTACAAATTTTATTTCAGAATTCTGTAACACCCTGTATATAAAACTCAAAGTTGACTGACTGACATAGTGATTTATCAACGCACAGCCCAAACCACTGGACGGATCGGGTTGAAATTTGGCATGCAGGTAGATGTTATGACGTAGGCATCCGCTAAGAAAGGATTTTGATCAATTCTACCCCCAAGGGGATAAAATAGGGAATGAAAGTTTGTATGAAACTTTGTAAATTTTAAACCAATCGGGCTGAGACTTTGCATGCAGGTATAAGAAGAATCATAGATGAATGTCATTGTGTATAATACAAGCCTGAGAACAAAAACTGTTGTCTACACTTCAGCTCTACACCGAAGCGAAGCGAGGGCGGGCCACTAGTAATAAATAATTTTATCAAGGAATTTCTTTTTTAGATTTTATAACATACTAGCTGACTCGGCGAACTTCGTACCGCACAAAAGTAATAATTTGCAATAAATTAAAATTGCGACTATAATTTGAGATTTAAACTATCCTATCTCTCAAGTTGGATCGAACTGCACATGGTGTGCGAATTTTAATATAATCGGTTCAGTGGTTTAGGAGTCCATTGAGGACAAACATTGTGACACGAGATTTATATATATTAAGATTATTTTATCATATATTATACATTTCGAAATATATTATGCTCCAGAATATATTAAAGCAATAGTTAAATGCTTAAAAAAATATAATCCCAACTTATATTATAAATGAGAAAGTGAGTTTGTTTGTTACGCTTTACCGCCTAAACCACTGAACGGATATGGATGGAATTTGGTACGCATATAGTTCATGACTATGATTGAGATGTGGAAAAATTTTAATTCCGGAAAAGTGTTAGATTCTTTAGGGATTTTGTGCGAAACTGCGTTATTTAGTGCAAGGAGCGATGAATGATTTAACCTTAGGAGATTAAGGTTCATATTACAGAATGACAACTAAGTATAGATCTTTACTTGAGCACTGTTAGAAAGGGACGGCGCTATAAATAAAAAATAAATAAATATTTCCAACACTCACACCAATTAGCCTAGCCCCAAAGTAAGCACTATAAGGCTAGTGTTATGGGATACTAGGGTAACGGATAGAATACATATACTGTACATATCTAATATATAAAACTAGCAAACCAGTGAACCAAATGTTCACAAAAAAAAATGTATTTAATTAATTGCAAGGACCCATTAATCGGATTAAAAGGTTAACCGGTAAGACCAAAACCCTGTATATTGATTAATCCTTATGCAGTAAACTGTTTATTGTAATATGGATTAATCCTAGGAATATTGCTGATTAACCCGTATGAAAGAGACTGTAGATGTAGACTAGTGTAGAGTACTTTCCATCTACGAGCTCCGCCATTCCGTGGCATTGTAATTCAGAATTTCACCTCGATGGGATAGCGCGTGCGCATAAATTAATATTTGCTTATGATTTTATTTATTTTTTAAGCATTTAACTGCTAGATGTTTAAATCTAAAGAAAGGTTTACTAGAAAAAAAATATTTGCTTAATGAATGATACCATATTTTTATTAAATATAATAAAGATTGTGTAATTAGATTTAATAATAATTGTGATAAAATATCACAAGGAGGGTATAATGCGATATCACGTGTATTTATTTTTCGTTGAACCACTTTCTGAACCAAACAGCGGCGTCTGGCCTTGACTCACCATTGCCAGGCAACGATTTTGAAATAATATTAAAAAAACAATCTATTATGAATTAAAAATACACGTAATTTACGGGTTGGGGGGGGGGCGGGCGGGCGGAGGGGGGGGGTAGTCTCAAACCTCACCACATATCACTAGGGGGAGGGGAGGGGGTTAAAAGTTGCTAAAAGCATCAGGTGATATGGACGACCCCTAATGAAATGATTTTGTCGACGCAAAGAAAAATCGATCGTGTAGGGTAAAAGCCGAATAGTGGTACCACTTTTCAATAAAGTAGTGATGACTTACTAGTAGTGATGAATCATGTATACAGGTCCTTTAACTTTCAAAGTAGCCTATTTTTGTAAAGTTAGTTAATTAATATTGGTTTTGAGTAAAACCGGTTTTATTTGACCTCTCAAAAAAAATAGTGCGGGGAGTCCCTCCGCGCGGTAGAAGTGAAACTTCGTAATTCGGCTTGTGCAGAAAACGTTTGATCCAAGCGGTAACACCAAGCAGCTTATCCAAGGAACTGTACCGATTCAACAAAAAATCCTTGTCATCGGCGGGGGAGGTCTCCAGGACGCATGCCCGCATTTCGGGAATGGCAACGTCTGACAACGCTGGAGAAGGCGGCCACTCAGACTCAGACCGCGTCAACCACTGTGGGCCCCACCAGAGAGGATGGCTAACGAGAGTTGAGGCTGCACAACCTCGAGACGCACAGTCGGCGGGATTCATGGTTCCCGGTACATGTCTCCAAATCAAGTCGACTTCCGAACTACAAATCTGTGACACTCGATTGGCAACAAAAACCTCCAATGTGTGCGCCGGAGCCTTCAACCAACAAAGGACGACCTGACTGTCGGTCCACGCAAAAACTCTCTGTATTTCTATCGACCTACCTAATGTGAGCCATACGTGGTTCAACAAACGCATCAAAAGGGCGGCTCCACACAATTCCAACCTCGGGATCGTATGACGAGTCCGAAGGGGAGCGACCTTGCTTTTTGCAATGACTAAATGCACAGAAACCATTCCATCGACAGTGACGGTGCGTAGGTACACAGCTGCCGCAAATCCACGTTCGGAGGCATCACAGAAGCCGTGAAGGCTAATTTTACAATTTTCAGAAGGGAGGAACATCCTCGGCAAACTCACTTCGTTAATCTCGGGGAGGGACGAAACAAAACCTGACCAATCTCGGAGTAGTTCGTCGGAGAGGGGTTCATCCCACGACGCACCCGAAGCCCATAATCGTTGCAGAAAACATTTGGCCATAAACAGCACAGGACAAATCCACCCATTGGGGTCAAAGGTACGCGCGACAGTAGACAACACCAAACGCTTGGTCCAGATTTTCGGTGGCTTCAAATCCACACAATACGTAAATGTGTCAGAGACTGGTCTATATTGCACGCCAAGGACGGTCACCATATGGGGATTATCAACGTTTTCAAATAAATGAGGGTCCTGCTGGTGCTCTTCGGGTAAGCCTTCAAGGACCTCCGGCGAGTTGGACAACCATTTCCTCAACTCGTATCCGCCGGACTTCAAAAGAGCAATCAATTCCTCTCGCAAGACCATCGCCTCAGAGACACAGGAGGCGCCAGTGCAAATGTCATCCACATACACATCACTGGTCAAAATGGCTGAGGCGCGAGGATATCTCAAGCGCTCCTTCTCCGCTAATTCCAACAAAGAACGTATCGCAATGAAAGGGCTCGAGGCCAAGCCGTACGTATTTGTGTTCAATTCATAAATCATCATGGGGCTACTAGGACTCTCTCGCCACAAAATCAGCTGATATCTTCTATCCTCGGGATGGATCACCGTCTGTCTAAACATCATCCGGATATCAGTCATAATCACAATTTTATGCCGCCGGAAGTTGGTCAAAATGTCTGAGATCTCCGTGTGCAACTTAGGACCTACATGCAGACACTGGTTCAAAGACGCTCCACTGGAGGAGGAAGCAGATCCGTCAAAGACCACCCGAATTTTTCCGGATTTCAAAACGGCGTGGTGCGGCAAAAAGAAGTGCTCAACTGAGCGATAATCCAAGTCGCTCACGGTCATGTGCCCTAACTCCTCATACTCCCGCATGAAGTCTATGTACTTCTGACGGAAGACCGGATCCTTGCTCATGCGGCGCTCCATGGACACTAGCCTACGTTCCGCTAGTATTCTGGATTCACCCAGAGGAGGTCGGCCGGCACGAAAGGGGAGACGGGTGATTAAACGACCAGAGCGGAGGCGACCAGTGTTATTCTGGTAAAACAACTCGCATTCTTGCGCTACTGGGTCAACCCGCGGGGCCGGTGGAGGTTCCTCAACCTCCCAAAACTTCTGTAGCACTTCAGAGAGAGACACGTTCAAAGCGACACCGCGATCCTCTTCTGAAGAAACCAAAACGCGGTGCGCAGGACCCATAACAACCGTACCGAGTGTCGTCTGCAGAGCTACCAAACCTCCTGGCTGCAAGACTCGCTTCCCCGTCAACAAAACTCGCCCCAGGACATCGGCTCCAAGGAGAGCATCAATCGGGCCCGGGCGGTAGAACTTAGGGTCGGCGAGAGCTGGGTCAGACACCAAAGACACCAGGGTCGATCCTAAGTCAACTGACGGGTGAGGACCAACAACTGTATCCAAAACAATCGCCGAGGCGTCAATACTCTCTTTGGACCCATAACATGAGGTGAACGTGAAGTTAACATACCCTAACAACCCGGGAACTTTCACATCGCCAATACCTCTCACGCCATGCGGATGGGGGTGCACCTTGAGGCCCAACTGCCTAACCAACCAAGATGACACCACACACCCTTGAGCACCGGAATCCAATAAGGCGCGAACTCTCAACCAGTTTCCATTCGATCCCCTAACAAATACAGAGGCCGTGGGCAACAAAACGGTCTCTGGATGGGCGGACTGGGGAGACGATAATTGCTAATATGTGGGGTACCACGGAGCCCTCTCAGACGGAGAGGGTCGCTCAAAACGATTCAGCGGGTCCCATGCCCCCACATATTGCTTGCGTCCAAGTCTCCCAGTGCT